GGGAGGAAGTGGGAGGGGAGCTGTTGCATTGTGGTAAACTGTGGTCAATGCCATGAGACAAAGTGTATGTGAACTGCTGTATGAAAAGTGAATTTGCTCTGTAAATTTTCACCCAAATCACAATTAAAAAAAAGAAAAAGAAAGAAAAGAAAAGGCCTGTATGGACAGAGACACAGACAGGCAGTGATGCTGACACAATGAGATGAGGATACTATACCTCTGCAGAAAGGAGGTAATCAAGAGTGCCATCCTTCATGTTATTTAACGCTTCATTACTTGGAACAAAAATGGTGTATGGTCCACCAACACCATCCTCATCCAAGGCCTGTCCCACATTGGTTTCCTGCGTTTGAGAAATGAAATTTTGTATATCTGAAACCTATCTTAGACAAGTATTGGAAATAATTCCCCAGCAAGAATTTACAATTGATGGCTTCATTAATTTCACAGAGGATTTGGCATGCAATAATTTTCACAAATTCATGAAAGTATGTACCTCTAGCAAGGATCTGAACTTGCTGTATCTTGGTTGTAGCATTGCCATTATGGTTTGCTAAAAAGAGATATTTTCTTTAAAAATCAGTAAAAAATACAGTGGCTTAGGAAATAAAAACCATAACATTAAGAAACTGATGACAAAGTTTATGTGTATACAAACATACACACACACACATATATAAATACATAATAATATGTGTATATATGTACACACTTACACATAAAACTTTACCCACTGCCATTGAGTCAATTCTGACTCATAACGCCCCATGGGGTTTCTAAGGCTGTAAATCTTTGTGGAAGTAGATTGCCCCATGTTCCTCCTGTGGAGCAGCTGGTGAGTTTGAACCTCTAACCTTTTGATTAGCAGCCAAATGGCTTACCATAAAGCTATATATATATATATATATATATATATATATATATATAAAAGAACCTGGTGAACTTCTATTATGCAAATGTTTGGTGGTGTTATCTGAACAGTAGTTTGGACTGGCAGTTTCTGAAGTAATCTTTGGCGATGATCGTATAGATCAGCGAGAATCAAGTTTCATGACAACTGGCTACTGGCTAAATTGTGAAATGCAGCCATAAGAGAGCTCACAAAAGGGAAAAAGGAGTATTTTCTCTACATGGACTATATACCTTTCTTTTGCCCTATAGATGTACCTAGAATTATATTGAAGAAACAGATTTAAATGATCCTATCTTCCATATGCTTGGAGTCCAAGGTCAAATGCCAATGGCAGACATTTTCTTCTTAGATATGGCTGCCCTAAGGCAAAAGGCAGATGGATCTAGGTAGATATCCCTTTTACCTGAAATACCTCACCTCAGTGTTGCTCTCAAATGTGGGGTCCATCTTATCCATGGCTCTGTCGATGATGTGCAGGAGCCCATTGGAAGCAATCATGTTGCCCTGCATAATTTTTACCTTCTTTTTTCCTCCATAGAGTTTAAGCTTAAGTTGATTGTCCTAAAACACCAAGAAAAAAGGAAAAAGAAAATTAATGTCATGTCCTGGAAGGAGCACTGGACTAGGAGTCAGGAGTCCTGAGGCCTTGGGTCTTGCCATTATTGACTGTGTGATCTTGGTGAGTCATTTAACCAAAGTGGGGAATGAAGGCATCTGCTTAGTTGATGTCACAGGATTTTTATTAAGATCAAATGAGATCGTGTGTGTGAAATCGGCGATGACTATCACATGCTAAATGTAGATAAGACATTATAAGGATTATAAGGACTGCAAACTCCATAAGGGAGTAAATTTCTTGTAAATTCATCACCTACTTCAGTATCTTACACAGAGAAGAGATGTAATATAACATATTTGTGGAATTAATAAGTGAAGCTATTCCTTTATTTCCTCCTATAAGGCTCCTACATATTTCAGACTTATTAAATATTCGTTGACTGGATGAGTGTATGTCGTTGTGAAGAAGGAAGCCACCACTTCATACCTATCACCCACCTATGTCCATCTATCGATTGATCTATCATTTGCCTATCTACTCATCTACCTACCTACCTACCTATCCATGCATGCATCCATCCATTCTTCCACCCATCCTCAAACACACAATACAGCATACTGATTAAGGAGGCAGTCTTTGCAGTTAGGCAGATCAGTACCTACAGTGCGACCTCTCAGTTTTCCTTTTGGAACAAAGAAGATAATGATAATACTTCCTTCAAAGGATTGTTGTAAGGCTTATATAACATAAACAAAGCTTAGCCCAGTACCTTGCACAGAATAAGTACTCCCTAACTGTAGCAACTACTGATACTTGTTGAAATGCAATGGTGCTGGCCATAACAACCGCAGGCACATTCTGTTGATTAATTACTTGCTCCAGCTCAGTAACGGAAGTAAAGTTGCAAGAAGAGTTAGTTGTGGATGTGGGTAGGGTGAATTTGTTTGGAAATAACAAAACAGAACTAATGGCATTAGGAGAGATGGATTGTTGAGTGGGCGAGGATGGATAAATCCATCTAAAGCAATCTAAAATAAACAATCCATTTCCTTTTGTAAAAAAAAAAAAAGGTTATCTGGCTTTATGCTGATGTTTCCAGGAAACAGGTTTACAGCAAAGTTTCTCTTTCCTGTTGGCAGATGAATGATGGTTGCCTTGAAAACATATTCAGACCCAGACCAAAATCAAACACTCTATGACTCCCCTTAGCAAACAGTCCATGCCCTCCTTCCTGACCCTTCCTCTTGTTGCTTTCAGCTTCGTCCTGCATAGGAAATGTGCTCTGACAAACAAGGAATAAGCTAAGAAGCTCTTTGTAGACTTTCTCAAGTCCCAAACACAAAGAGAGAGGCTCCAGGCATCAGCTTAGGGAACGGTTCAGTTCTAGGAGTGAAAATCAGAGAAATCCTTACCTTATCACCATTGAAGACCTCCCCTGATTTTCCCGTCAAGGTATAAAATGTGTCTGTGTTATTCAAATTCTCAGTATTCATCTGCCCAGCAATTATGTGCAGCTTCACAAAGTACTGAGCGGCCTCATTATCCATCAAGAGCTCTTTTACCTAAGAAAACAGAGCCAGTTCCTTTAGTCTTGGTTGCTGTTTGAAGAACATGAGGTTTGTGATTCATGTTATGCCTTGTTTAGCATCAAAAACATCAAAGCCCCTGCACACTAGCTCAGATTTGGGCTCTTTCCAATGCAGATGTTTCTCCCAGAGTGTAGTACCCTGGGCCAGGCCTTAAAGGGGTGGAGATCTGAAGAGCTGGAGTGACGCACAGTCCGCTACCAGTCCATGGGCTGAGCTGCCATGGTGTAAGGAGTAGCAAGAAGGCAGTAGGCACTGAGGAATCTGTCTTGAGCCCAAGGAGCCAATGAGAATGAAATATAAAGTTACAAGGAAAAAAAAAAAAAACCCACATGGATTGGACCGGTGGTGCTTTTGAATAATAAAGTTAAGATTTTAAAAATCCATTGGACCAAAGCTGTATTTTGTTACTGTTATACAGTCAACAATCAAACATTAGATACTTTTTATTAACTCAGTGTAGACTTTAAGAAAAGGAGCAATGATGGCGTAATGGTTAAGTGCTAGGCTGCTAACTGAAAGATTGCTGGTTCAAACCCTCCTAGCAGCTTTGTTGTAGAGAAATCTGCAAATCAGCTTCCATAAAGATTACAGCCAAGAAAACTCTATAGGGCAATTCTTCTCTGCCAGATGGAGTCACTGTGAGTCAGATTTGACTTGATGACAGTACCCCAAAGCAACAGCAAACTTAAAAAAACACCCAGCTGCCATTGAGTTGTTTTCAATGCACAGTGACCCTATGTTTGTTGGAATAGAACTGTACTCAGTAGGATTTTCAGTGGCTGATTTTTCTGTAAGTAGACTACTAAGCCTTTCTTTTGAGGTGCGTCTGGGTGGGCTTGAACCCCCAATCTTTTGGTTACCAGCTGAGCTGGTTACTTTTGGCTGTTTTACTGTTTGCACCACCCAGGGACTATGTAAACTTAACCTGTGTATTAATCCTTCTTTGACTCATGATACATATAGTGACCACCTACATCTTCTGCCTCTTGGGTTTATTGGGAAACTGCTATCCCACTTTTAGTCTATGCTACCATCTGATGGAGGCTTGTATAACAGCATGAATCTGAAGAAACAAGCCTAAAATCCCACCAACTCCAGTACCAGTGATCCCTGAGGACATATGTGTCCCACTAATTGTATCAACCACTACTCATCTGTCAGTTCTGTGGTGCTGTAGTGGCTTGTGTGTTGCTATGATGCTGGAAGCTACGTCACTGGTATTTCAAATACCAGCAGGGTCACCCAGGGTGGAAGAGTTTCCCCAGAGCTTCTAGACTAAGACAGATTAAGAAGAAGGAACAGGCAGTCCATTTCTGAAAAAACTGGCTACTGAAAATCTTATGAGTAGCAGTGAAACAGTGTCTGATATGGTGCCAGAAGATAAGCCTGTCAGGTTGGGAGGCACTCAAAATAGGACTGGGGAAGGACTGCCTCCTCAATGTAGAGATGACTTTAATGACATGGATGGAGTAAAGCTTTTGAGACCTTCATTTGCTGATGTGGCACGACTCAAAATGGGAAGAAACAGCTGCAAACATCCAATAATAATCTGAATATCGAATGTATGATGTATGAATCTAGGAAAAATGGAAATTTTCTAAAATGAAATGGAATTCATAAAGATCAATATCCCAGGCTTTAGTGAATTGAAAAGCACTGGTTTTGGCCATTTTGAATCAGACAATCATACTATCTACTGTGCCAGGAATGAAAAATTGAAGAGGAATGGTGTCACATTCATCATCAAAAAGAACATTTCAAGATCTATCCTGAAGTACAATAATGCTCTCAATGATAGGATCTTACCCATTCACCTACAAGGAAGACCAGTTAACACTACTATTATTCAAATTTACACACCAAACATTAAAGCCAAAGATGAAGAAATTAAAGATTTTTACCAACTTCAGCAGCCTGAAATTGACCAAACATGCTATCAAGATTCATTGATAATTACTGGTGATTGGAATGCAAAACAAAGAAACAAAAAGGTTGGAAAATATGGCTTTGGTGATAGAAATGAGCTGGAGATTGCATGACAGAATTTTGTAAGACCCACGACTTATTTATTGCAAATACCTATTTTTCAACAGCAGCAACTATACACATGGACCTCACCAGATGGAATACACAGGAATCAAATCGACTACATCTGTGGAAGGAGATGGTGGAGAAGCTCAGCATCATCAGTCAGAACGAGGCCGGGGGCTGACACTGGAATGTACCGTCAATTGCTCCTGTGCAAGGGAAGCTGAAGCTGAAGCTGAAGACAATTAAAGCAAGTCCATGGAGCCGAACTACGACCTTGAGTACATCCCACCTGAATTTAGAGGCCATTTGAAGAATCGATTCATGCACTGAACCCCAGTCATGAAGACCAGATGATTTGTGGGATGACATCAAGGACATCAGACATGAAGAAAGCCAAAGATCATAAAAAGACAGGCAAGGAAGAGAAGACCAAAATGGATGTCAGAAGAGACTCTAAAACTTGCTCTTGAATGGAGAGTAGCTAAAGTGAATGGAAAAAATAATGAAGTAGAAGAGCTCAGCAGAGGATTTCAAAGGGCAGCTCAAGAGGACAAGGTAAAGTATTATAATGAAATGTGCAAAGACCTGGAGTTAGAAAATTAAAGTGAAAAAAGCACTTGGTATTTCTTAAGCTGAAGGAACGGAAGGAAAAATTCCAGCCTTAAGCTGCAGTATTGAAGGGTTCAATGGGCAAAATACTGAACAATGCAGGAAACTTCAAAAGAGAAGATGGAAGGAATATACTTGGAAGGAAGGCTGGGCAATCTACTTCCATAGTGCTACCGCCTCGGAAACCCAAGGAGGGGTCGCTATGAGTCAGATCCGACTCAACGGCAGTGAGGGTTTTTTTTTTTTTTTTTGAGTACCAAAAAGAACTGGTCAACATTCAACCATTTCAGGAGGTTGCATATGATCAAGAACCAATGATACTGAAAGAAGAAGTCCAAGCTGCACTGAAGGCATTAGCAAAAAACAAGGCTCTATGTATTGATGGCATACCCATTGAGATGTTTCAACAAACAGATGTAGCATTGGAAGTGCTCATTTATTTATGTCAGGAAAATGGAAGACTGGAAGAGATTCTATTTATACCCATTCCAAAGAAAAGAGATCCAACAGAATGCAGAATTTATTGAACAGTATCATTAAGTATCATGTAAGTAAAATTTTGCTGAAGATAATTAAAAAATGGTTGCAGAAGTGTATTGACAAGGAACTATCAGAAATTCAAGTTGGATTCAGAAGAGGAAGTGGAATGAAGGATATTATTGCTGATGTCAGATGGATCTTGGCTGAAAGCACAGAATACCGGAAAGATATTTACTTGTGTTTTATTGACTATGCAAAAGCATTCTACTGTGTAAACCAAAACCAAACCCACTGCCATCGAGTTGATTCTGACTCATAGCGACTCCTTGGGTGTCTGATGTGGTATCTCTATGGAAGTAGATTGTCCAGCCTTCCATCTGAGGAGTGGCTGGTGGGTTTGAACTGCCAGCCTTCTGGTTAGCAGTCAAATGCCTTAGGCACTATACCACCAGACCTCCCTATTCTATTGTGTGGATCATAACAAATTATGGGTAACATTGCAAAGAATAGGAATTCCAGAACACTTAATTGTGTTTATGACGAACCTGCACATAGACCGAAAGACAGTTGTTTGAACAGAACAAGGGGATATTGCATGGCTTAAAATTTGGAAACATGTTCATCAGGGCAGTATCTTTTCACCATACTTTGTGCTGAGCAGAAAATAATCTGAGAAGCTGGACTATATTAAGAAGAGTGCAGCATCAGGATTGGAGGAAGACTGATTAACAACCTGTGACATGCAGATGACACAACCTTGCTTGCTGAAAGTGAAGAGGACTTGAAGCACTTACTGATGAAGATCAAAAACTAAGCAGTATGGGTTACACCTCAACATAAAGAAAACAAAAATCATCACCAATCAATCAATAAGCAACATCATGATAAACAAAGAAAAAATTGAAGTTGTCCAAACTTTCATTTTACTTGGATCCCTAATCAATGCCCAGGGAAGTAGCAGTCAAGAAATCAAATGATACATTGCATTGGGCAAATCTGCTGCAAAAGACCTCTTTGAAGTGTTAAAGAGCTAAGACGTCACTTTGAGGACTAAATAAATTGTGTCTGACCCTAGCCATGGTATTTTCAGTCATTTCACAGGAATGTGAAAACTGAACAATGAATAAGGAAGACCTCAGAAGAACTGACACATTTGAATTGTGGTTTGGCGAAGAATATTGAATATACCGTGGACTGCCAGAAGAATGAACAAATCTGTCTTAGAAGTACAGTTGGAATGCTTTTTAGAAACAAAAATGTCCTGACTTAGCTTATTACATTTTGGTCACGTTATCAGGAGGGACCAGTCCCTAGAGAAGGATATTGTGCTTGGTAAGGTTGAGGGTCAGTGATAAAGGGGAAGAATCCTAACAAGATGGATTGACACAGTGGCTGTAACAACCGGCTTAAGCATGGCAACAATTCTGAGTGTGGTGCAGGAATGGGTAATGTTTCATTCTGTTGTATGTAGAGTTGCTATGAGTTGAAATCTACCTGGGCACCTAACAACAATTGTATCAAAACCATTACTTCCTCAAAAAATTGTTTCATTTAATTCAAAATGCTTTCCATTACTAAAACATAAGGTTTCAACAAAAAATTCAAAGCACAAAACAATTTGGTCTTGAAAAGATTGCTAAACAAGAGACAACATGCAAAGGGCCTAGCCCATAAGCATTGTATTTGCTAGTTCTCCTCCCCAGTGGGAGAGCTATGAAAGCATCATGAAGGTTAATCACGGGCAGATGAATCTCAGGTAGCTTGACAGCGGTGGTATGTTAGAATGACAGAGCCTAGGATTTACTGGGCTTTTTATTCAGGGCACAAAAGTGATCATCACAAAGTATCTTGGATTAAGATAAACTAATTTAATACATAGCAAATTGTTTGTCAGCTACATTAAAGCAAATATAATTATTTCATTGTTATCATCGCAGTAAGACATTTCCACCTGGCACTATGATTTTTCATTCCCACTGGCTGCCATTATTTCAAACCACAGCTGCTCACATTGTCTTAAAGACACATTTTAGAGACTACAGTTTTCTTTGAGTTTCTCCTATCACTATTACTGTTTATGCTAATTTTAAGAAATATACCCTAAGTGATATGTTCCTTTGATTCTTCCTGTAGGAAGTGGCAGTTGTGCAGTCTGAAAATCTTATTTATCATGTGATTATATGTTAAACATCCTTAATCGTAATACTCAGAGAAGGTAATGCTCAGAAGGGGGTACAGAAGTTTTCGGGATGCTGGTCCTGATCTTCCTGGATACACAGGTATGTTCACTTTGTAAAAATTCATTGTGTTGTACAAAGGATTTGTATATTTTCTGTAAGGATGTTATATTTTACTAAAATAATTTTACCAAACAATCGCCATCCTTATCATCAGTAGGTTTAATTTTAGTGCAGGTTCCCCACTTTCAAGAATAGAATGTAGTGCCTACGTATTATTGCATTAGCCCCTTGGTGTGTCTGTCTTTGTAAGCACAATACCTTATTTTATATACTTACATTGAATCCTTTCAGTCCTTTGTCTGTTGGCAACAGCACAGTGAATGGTCCCAGGTTACTTAGTGGCCAGGCATAAGCTTTGTCTTAGGTGTTCAAATACACAAAGAAAACACCAAACGGGTCAGTGGTATGTACAGAGTAAAATCAGACTCTTGCCTCATAACTGGTTCATTAATGCTCTTTGCATCGAGAGCTTCTCTGTTTAAATAGGCATGTGAAGGCACTTGCTGGGAAATTCTCTAAGAATATAAGGCACCATATTGCCATAACTCAAATGGGTTCCATGCAACTCCATGGATTTTCCCTGCAGTCATCGCCTTAGTGCCAAGGAAATCTTGGGATGTGAGGTTCTGTGAGAGATCCATGACAAAACTCACTGACAACCCCAGGAGGTCCCTGGCTCTGTGCCCAATTTTGAGCTGCTACATCTCCGTGAACAAAGATACAGCCCATGTTTCCATCCCTGGCTGGCTTTAAAGGCCCAACACTTGGTTTAATGCTCTGCTGTTGCCATCTTGAACAATGGGCATTGCATTTTCAGTTTGCAATGGGCCCCACAAGTGATGTAGTTGGTCCTGTTGCCGTCACCCTTGGGGGATCTGGTAAAGTAGCATGGGACTCTGAGCTCTCCCACAAGAAGCCTAAGGTAAACAGCATCTTGTAAACAGGAAAGGTGAAAAGTTTTTCAGGGAAATGCTTGAGGGCTCAGTCTGCAAATGCCACTCCTGTTTGCTCCCATTTGATATTCTAATAGTTCTTAGAGGAAGATGCTGGGGGAACCTGACAGATGGCCAGTAATGCCTGACTCCCGATAGGATGCCTGGATCAGGGCATTTAGGCAGGATGTACTTTAAGGGAGGATCTCTGGTGCATAGTGCCTAAAGCATTCGACTGCTAACCTGGCGGTTCAAACCCACCAGCCACTGCTCGGAAGGAAGATGGGGCAGTCTACTTCTGTAGTGATACTGCCTCGGAAACCCAAGGAGGGGTCGCTATGAGTCAGGTCCAACTGGACAGCACATAACAACAAC